TAGGTTATATACTGCCATCCAGTACCATAGTATCTGAGCACTTCTTTAAATTGTTCTTTATTTCTGTCTTAGGTATTTATACAACCCCCATTACTGTAGTGTTTGAGCATCTCATAACCTTTAATTTATTTATCCACACAACCCCTGTGAGGTTACTAAAGTCATTTTACGGATGGGGAAGTATGACGCAGAGAGGCTAAGTGATTTTTCCCAAGGTCACAAGCAGGGATGGAACAAGGATTTGAACCCAAGTCAACCAAGTCCTAGGCCAGTGCCCTAACCACTGACCAGCCCTTCGCTCCTTTAAAAAAGGGCACTGAAATGCACAGAAATATATTTAGCAAGACAATACACTACCCGAGATGGCAGTCCAGTATCACCCATTTTATAAGTAAGCCAACTGAGAGATTTCACAAATCCACTTTAGGCAGTTTGTATATGCATTTGGTATATGCATGTCAGCACAGGAATACCACTCTTGCAAAGAGTAGGAGTTTTGCAGAAGGGGAGCTATTTTGGATTTAATGGCTGCCTAAACAAGTAAATGGCATATTAAGACTGTAGACACGTTCTGGAAGAGATTAGACCTTTATCCTTGGGCTGAGATAAAGTATGAAAGGTTCAGCCCTCCTAAGAGAGCAAGTGTAATCAGGATTTTAATGGCAACTCTGGATGTAACCATAACTGTAGCAGCATTTGTTACCATGAACACCAATTAGATTGTGCATAATGAGAATATGAAAAATTCTACTGAGTTCAACAACAATCTGCATTCTCAAATTGCATTGTTTGCAAAAATGCACTCTCCAAACCTCCACTGAAAATCTTTATTGACCTTTTTGCAAGTCACAGACCAGTTTGAGAAATTATAGTTGCTCTTTCACTGCTATGTTACAATTCTAGTGCTGACCATAATACAAAATTTGTTAGTCTAAACTGATATTAAGACGCAAGATAAGGCATCCAATATCAGTTCATAACAGCCTTTTTCCGGAACATAACTAAAATTTGCTATCTTGTTGTCTCTCTGTTATGCACAGCAGCTCATAATATGAAAGACCATCTCTAACCTGAGAATTCTTCTTGTATGGCACCTTGACACTAGAGGATAAACTAAGAAAGAGTGACAGCCTTACAATAGAGTATTTATTTTGTTGTCAAAAGGCATTTGGTGCTATCTTTGCACATTTTGTTATATGTAATAGGTTTTACACATTAGGGAATCAATTTTAAGTTTATTTCATACCCTATAACCAAATTTCCCTATCTAGTAGCATGAACGCTAAACATTAAATTTTGACAGTTAAAAAATTGAGTGAATCCTTTTTAGGGCCAGTCTGACTGGAAAACACACAATCTAGGGATTGTCTTTTATTATAACGAGGAATCCGGTGGCACCTTAAAGACTAACAGATTTATTTGGGCATAAGCTTTTGTGGGTAAAAAACCCCACTTCATCTTCATCCACTAAATCTGTTAATCTTTAAGGTGCCACCGGACTCCACGTTGTTTTTGTGAATACAGACTAACACGGCTACCCCTCTGATACTTGTATTTTATTATTTGTCAAATGCACAATGGAGCCCAGCCTGGTCATGATCTTTAGGCATTTAATACTGATATTGTGGTAACAATCACCACTTAGTTTTAAGAAGTCAAACATTATACTACATAGATATATCTCACTTTGCGTCAATAAAATAAACAGATGCCACAAAACTACAAAAACATTGTCAGACTATTAGAATATGAAATATTTTATATAAATATCCACAATGATCTTAAAAGATACATGAAACTGAGCGATCAGAGAAAAAAATGTCACCCAAGACACTACATCGAGAATGCTCATGCAACATCCTTCTTGACTTTGTCAGATGGCTCCATACGAGATGAAAAGTTAATTTGATAAATTCAGCTCAGAGACAGAACTACAACCCACAGAAAAATAAGATGATAAATAACCCACCACCCACAAAAGGATACTATCCTCCAACTATAAGAATACTGACTGCACAATAATAGTTGCTCAGAAAAGCAGCAAGAGGCATTATGGACCATGAATAAAGAATTCCTTAGACCACTGCTGAAGTTTCTGGATGGTGACTTGGAGAAACATACACACATTGTTTGACATTGTTTCCCAATATAATTCTCAACAGTTAAATCGTCTAATGCAACTCTTACCTTTATTGTCAAATCATGAAAACTGCATTTTCTCCACCTTTTCCTTCCCACTGCCAATGATGGCATATAATTAAGATGGAAATTTAGATTGTGAGGGGATGGTTGGGACACTAAGGATCCTAGCCATCTCATAAATAGCCTGTGTCAGCCAGGTCAAAATAAAAAACAAAAGACCAAGAACTAAACTATTCACCAAACAGGCTTCCTCAGTTCCCTCAAAAAAAAAAAAAGGGGGGGGGGGGCGAGGATGTGTGTTTGTAAGCAACTGGAAAACAGGCTGTGATAAGGGCTGCACGTGAACATACTGTTAAGAAAACTGTACTTCCCACCTCCCCAACGGTAGCAGGGCCAGCACTGAAGGAGGAGGCACTGCGGGTGATAAGTACCTGTCTACATTAGAGAGGGTGACTGGGAAGCTGCTCTGGGGAGAAGAGCATGTCTGCCAAAGCCTATGTTTCTAAGCACATCTTTGCATATGAATAGGCAAAGACATGATATGCCTAAGACATGTTTCCCTCCAAGATTGTTTTTGAGGCAATAAAGCATTAAAATCTAAGGATTTAAACACGAGTTATGAGTATTTTGTTTTTTCCTGTTTTTTTCCCACATAACTGCTTATCAGTCAAAAGTATCTCTCTTCCAATAAATTCTTTAACAATTATATGACCCCCTACCTAATTGGATTGTGCATCTGTTTATCCATGTTTGTGAACTGATTCCATTTGACTGACAAGAGGTTGTGCTGGAAAGACATTGCACACATGCTGAAAACTAATAGACGCTTTTGCTTCAAGTAAAAGAAATGGAAAATAATTTAATTAAAAAGCCAACTTCTACTAATAAAACTTGTTTACAAGAACCAAATTTATAAAAATTAAGTTTTATTTATGTACTGAAAAGCATGAGTAAAGTGACTAACTTATTAAATACTAATCAGGTTTTTAAAATAATAAAGAATGTACAAGATGTGGTCAAAGTGCACATATGAAAAGAATCAACTTTTTAAAAATTTTATAAGCATATTAAGTTATATATCACATCACATGAACTAAGCTTCCTTCTGAAACATATGAACTACTTTGGTATCCATAAAAAAGCATCCTCTTTTAAAACTATCAGGTGCAACTTCTATAAAAGTGAGCATCACAGAAGAGTCTGAAATGATATCAGAGAGCTGAAGTACTGCAACAGGAAGGCTTACAAAGGTATCAATCACAGTGTGAAAAGTAAAAAACAAAAACAAAAGAAAAGTGGAGAAACAACTGATCTCTCTCACCCAAAGTCAATTTTTTTTGCAACTTCTTATAGGAAATTACTAAATCTCATTAAATTTAACCTTGTAAAACAACACTTTCGGACCGACAAGTCACACAGTATTTATTCACACAAGACACAATCTAAGGTCCATGAAGTCAATGGAGATACTCACATATTTTAATGAGCACTGGATCGGCCCCATAATCTCATTCAAAATGCTTTCAAATGTCTAAATATATATTTTTAATAAGCTTTTGTTTTAGACTCTATATATTCCCAATTTTGTAATTATAAACAGTAATTTTTTGGTGTTTCACTGGATAGCATCCAACTATGTTGGATCTAGTGGTCAGTATTAACGCTTTAGGACAACTAATCCCTTTAGGACCAATTTGGGAAGTTACAAATGGGAGGAAAGAAACTGCTGCATGAAGACCTTATATGTGCAAATTGTAAGTGTTTTTTAAAAGCAAAGTGACAGTAGCCGATTATTAAGGCTCATCTTCTAATGGGACACTATCAAGTTAAAAATTGTATGTTACATGAAATTCCTTACTGATGTCTTGCACCTTAAATTATTAATAGTTGAAGATGTACTTTACCTTTCACCAGTTATGTGGTTTTAACTTTTGTATTTCACTCAAATGATGAAACTGGACAGGTCAACTTCATTTCAATATAACAAACAAAAAATCTGTTTGGGTTTGCAACACTGCAGGGTTATAAAACAAAAGAACAAGGGCTTCCAATTTTAAATGAATGCATAAACATATTTGGAATGGGTTACCTAGGGAGGTGGTGGAATCTCCTTCCTTAGAGGTTTTTAAGGTCAGGTTTGACAAAGCCCTGGCTGGGATAATTTAGTTGGGATTAGGTCCTGCTTTGAGCAGGGGGTTGGACTAGATGACCTGCTGAGGTCCCTTCCAACCCTGATATTCTATGATTCTATGATTTGTTTTTAGGATTTGTATTTTAAAATCCTTCCAAGATCATGTTTTCTGCCTAAATAAAGTTGTCTGTACAATTTCTCAATTATTTACTGTACTTACATGTTGACTTTTGTGCATCCTTTGATTAAAAATGAATAGACAGACTCCACAAAACATCACAGACCTAAAATATTCCTATTTTCTAGTCAACTTTAATGCTTTAATGTAAACAAGCTTTATGGTTATTTTTGTGCAATGAAACTGGAAATTGGAAGTCTAAGAGTTCACAGAGTAAGAAACAGAATTATTTTTTCTTTAAATAAATTTAGTACAAAAATCCAGACAAAGTGAATTTCATTTCCTTCTCTCCCACAGGACCATTTTTACATTTAAACCCTTCATACTGCAGTGCTTCCAAAGCCAAAGCTATTAAATTCAAGGTGAAATTTGTCTAAATAAGGAGATTAGGATCCTAATCTATGTAGTTATGTTTTATGTAACAGTCAAAACATTCATAAATATCTGCAAATAAGCACTATTTTGAAGTGATAAGAACATTAAAGAGTTGGAGCTGTACCAAAATGAAATTAATTTAGTCTCAAAACTAAAGGGCATGTTTCTCTTTACCTGAAAGTTAACATCTTCTTTCTTAAATATTAATGCTCGAACTTCATCAGGGTCCCCATTAAATATAGCTTGAACCAATGGTGGCTGAAACAAAAGAAAGGAGTAGTTTAAAAACAAACATACATTCCATGCATTACTCCTACATGTATTTTTTTTATGACAACATAATGGTCATATACCAAATCAAGATTAAGGAAGGTGTTCCGAGTAGCAAAATGAAAAAACCCAAACTATTTTAATATTGCAAAAATTTGGCTTGAAGGAAGTCAATTAACTGCCTTTCCCTCCCTCCCCCCACCCGCAATATACTTTACAAACTTGTACACAAACTAATGAACCACTGGATAAAAAAAAAAGTTTTCTAGATTTTTCTAGGTTTTTAACTAATGGTTAAAAAAAGACTTCTAAAATAAATTCCTGTGGCAAAGTAAGATCAGGTAGTCTAGGATACATTATATACTATTCAAAATATATGTAAAACTCATTTTACATTAGTAAATTAGTAAAATTAAAAAGTTCTCATGTGTTTGAAGAAGAATAAGGAAGCAGAGTATATTTGAATGATATGGAAACAAATGCACACATACACACAGGCATTACTAAATATAACTAGATTTCCTGATATGATATCATGATCTAAGTAAAGCAGCAAATTACGTGACAAAGTAAAATAATTTTTGTTTTCAAGAAAGCAAATTTTCTTCAGTGCTTCTGGTAAGTGATAACATGAATGCACAGCTACATTACATCTATAATCTGACTTTGATAACTTTTTATTTTAGTGTGCAACTGATATTGCTTGAGATACCCTGGATACTATACCAATTCTCAAAATACACACAGCTTATTATCACATTATAGAGGTTACATCAGTTTCTAAAGTGGTACTGAACAGATAAACCAATAACAAGTAGCAGAGAAAATGTTTACTGCAAATGTCATTTTGTCAAGCTCGCTGGAAAAACTGTACTATCATAAAACTAGCTACAAAGTTGAGATTTGTTAACTCTGCTTCAAAAATATTGTTACACACAAAAAAGGGAGCCCTTACAAGTTTTAACAAGTTTTAATTCCATCACTAAGTTTTAAATATCATGGTGCTTAACATAGGTGGTTTTGACTTCACTAAAGAACTATTCATTCAACATATAAAGTAACCCAGGTGCTACTTTGCTTAGTCATGTAAATCCTATGATAAGCATCACTAGACCTTTGCAGCACTATTACAGAGGACATATCTTACCAACACATTTCCAGAAGGTGAAGGACGTACAGATGTGATTTCCTGAGGTAGTTTGGAAAAAAATGTGGGAGAATCATCTTCAACCTCCTCCAAAACAACAATACACACTCGACTCATTCGATCCGTTTGAAAAAAAAACTGTATTCAGAACAACACAGTAGTAACCACAGCTGGGACAGCACAGAAAGTACTTTTACCTCCCAAGTATACACTCACAAACATAACTGGTTAACACTATTGCTGGTGTTTTAAAACTTAAAAAAAAAAAAAAGGACTTTTTCCCCCACTATATTTCATTTAACACCCTGAGATGTTCAAACAATGCTGTTTTTTAAAAAAATATATCCTTTTTTTAAAAACAAGGTTTCATCCTCCTGTACTACAACAGTGAATTTGTGAAAAATGTACTAAAACTATTCTCAGCTCTAACTAGGTTACGGTAGAAATTTCAATATCGTAAATATCTATAGTATGTCCTTTTACCAGAAAATCTGCCTTTGTTAATATTGCTACTTCTACAGAATAACTTTATCCACACAGTGAAATCATTGTTGTAGGTTGCATGACACCATTCTGTATAGAATGAAACAAGGAACAATTGCTCTGACAGAGATGATCACAGCTATAGCCAGTCTTGCAAGGTCAGTCTCCAATTTACAGTGCTAGGCTTTCCGATGACTGAAAATAAACACCACTGTCCTAAATATTTCAGGAGCTTATTCTCCAATTTTGGAACTTCATTTGTCTTAATGTCAGGAATACTTCACACAATCTATTTTTCAGCAATGATTCACAACATGATATTCCAAGGTTGACAATTCTTCTCTATGTAATAAAAATCTCCGCAATGTACAGCAGAACTGCAGTATATTTACATGCAATGAGTCAGACCACAAGGGACAATGGGACTCCTGGAATAATAATATTGCCTGTTTAATCCAGATTTCCCAAATGACAGAAACATAGATAGCTTTACTCCATCAGTGATACAAGCAATGCAGAGCATTCATTTTTCCTCCATCAGGCAGTTGCTGTGCTGCTCCAACAGGCAACTCACTATGCAGAAATGCTGTTAAGGAAGAATGCTTCCGCAAAACAAGCAAGCTACTAAGGCACGAAGAGCTCGAATTACTGCCTTAGACTTTTCCTGCAACAGCAGTTCATCACTCAAGTGTTTCTTTTGATCACCATGTGAATACAGCTTCCGTTGTAGTCTTCATTCAGACTGTGGAAAAAAATGAGACTCTGTGCATCTTCTTTGAGCCAACTTCTTTATGCAAACGTCTGTCTCTGTGCCAACCTGATTTTCCTCCAGGGTTAAATACTATATATCAATTTTCTGTCGCTGATTTTTAGATTGTGTGTTCGTTCAGAAGATGCTCTTGCAAAGCTTTGAAATCCTTCTGCCTGAATTGGTCATTATAGAGCACAGTTCACATCCACAGCAGCATTCGAACTGAGCAATAGTCTAAAGAGCACAGACTGCAGACCTGCAGGATGAAATGCCTAGTAATGCTCACATGTTACACTTACCAGAGAACTGAGCTACTGCTCTGGATGCAACTTCCTCTAGCAAATAAATAAATAAATAAATAGTGCCTTTTGGGCAGCCATCACAGTTAGAATGTTTGTGCCAGTTTTGTGACTAATTCAGCTCACACGTAAAAATTCTATAATTGACGAAAGAGTGAGTGTTTAACATTTTCCACTAAAAGCCACAAAGGAATCTGGTGTACTGGCTCTGCTGACTGACAATTTAGGCAAGTAAACAATTCCAACATTCTAACTGCTTTCACATGTTACTGTACAGAACAACAGAGCAGTCCTCATTTAACTCTCTGAAGACAAAAAGAGTATTTTAAATAGAAATCCCTTACAAACTAAGATATAAAACTAGATTTTAATGGTTAGTTACTTTAAAGATAACTAACCATAATTTACCATAAACATTACTTTTGCTACTAAATACACACACACATAAGGAAGTTTGAAAAATGACTCAAAGCATAACGTAGCCTTCATTAATCTCACAGTCCTCCAACACGTTGAATTTATATTTTGACCTAAATTTGCTTAAAGTAACTGTACTGGTCTGTGGGCATATTATACAACTGCATCATGTGCTATAAACTGTTGGAAATGCTTCTGTTAAGCAAATCGTGGTTTTTTGTTCCTACTAGACAATATAAAGATTTTTTGATGGCTGTCAATCACTGATCAATTCACAATCTATAAAAGGAGAACAGGTTGAATGATCTAGGTGACTGGGCAACAAAATGGCAGATGAAATTCGATGTTGAAAATGCAAATTAATGCACATTGGAAAACACAATCCAAAATGATGGGGTCTAACCTAGCAGTTAACACTCAAGAAAGATCTTGGAGTCATCATCAATAGTTCTCTGAAAACATCAGTTCAATGTGCAGCAGCAGTCAAAAAAGTTAACAGAATATTAGGAACCATTAGGAAACAGAAAATATAATGCCACTATATAAATCCTTGGTATACCCACATCTTGAATACCACATGCAGTTCTGATTGCCCTGTCTCAAAAATGATATATTAGAAATGGAAAAAGTACAGAGAAGAGCAACAAAAATGATTAAGGGTATGGAATAGCTTCCATATGAGGAAAGATTAAAAAGATTGAGACTGTTCAGCTTGGAAAAGTGATGACTAAGGCGGGATATGAAACAGAGCTATAAAATCATGAATCATATGCAGAAAGTAAATAAGGAAGTGTTATTTACCCCTTCACATAACACAAGAAGTAGGGGTCACCCAATTAATTTAATAGGCAGCAGGTTTAAAACAAACATAAGGAAGTACTTCACACAATGTACAGTCAACCTGTGGAACTCACTGCCAGGGTAGATTGTGAAGGCCAAAAATATAAACGGGTTCAAAAAAGAATTAGATAATTTCCTGGAAGATAGGTCAATCAATGGCTATTTGTCCAGGTGATCAGGGATGAACCCACATGCTCTGGGTGTCCCTAAGGACTCTGATTGTCAGATGCAAGGAATAGACAACAGGGGGTGGATCACTTGGCGAATGCCCTCTTCTGTTCTTTCCCTTTGAAGTATCTGGCATTGGTCACAGTCAGAAGCAGGATACTGGGCCAAATGGACCATTAGTCTGACCAAGTATGGCTATTCTTATGTTCTTATCTGAGGCCTCTTTAAAGTATTCTTACTCTGAAGTCCTATGTACCAGTCCAGGACACGTCCTGGAAAATTGAGGGTGGAGCATATTTTAATGCATTTTTGTAGATTATGTAGTCTATTGGTTAGAGGTCATAATTTAACCCAGATGTCTTGTTCACTGTGTGACTCTGTGGCAATACATAAGCTCTGTACCTAAATTTTCTCATTTCTAGCATTTGAATAATAATGCTTTCCCACCTTTGTAAAGCCTTTTTTATTTCTCTATATAGTTAGTTATAATTCCATCTGAGATTTTTGGGAAAGTCACAACTAAGGACAGTTGAATAAAAGGAAGGATTGTGTGTTCTGTCAAGCTTATCTATTTCACTAGTCTGTCTACTTGGTGGTTGGAGGGGTCACAACTGTCCACAGAATGCAGGATGACAGAGGGTTTAAAGAACACGGCTCAGGTACATTTCATACAGATGTTCTTTAAGAAAAAGGGAAGAGACCAAAAATGTAAACAGTAAAATTATTTCTACGTGTAACAAAGATTTCCATGTGATGTCAGCAGCTCTTCCAAGATGCGATACCCACTGAAAGGTTTTCTGATACACTGCATATATGAAAAATATTTGCCTTCCATTTATGAATACGCTCTTCAGAAATTGACAATAGCTTGCATACATGACCA